AGGATGGTAGTCAGGCTGCCTTCGGCGGCATGCCTGCGAGAGGTCCGTCGGTCCCGTGGTTTTCAGCGGCAATTCGGCAGCAGGTACGCTGAAGCCGCGGGACCGGGGACCTCCCGCAGGCATGCCGCCGAAGGCAGCCTGCCTACCGTGCTTGGGGCGGCAAAATACATAGAGCCACCCCTGGGTGTGATGAGGGCCTGACCGAGCAACATCGCTGTGGAAATCACTATAAAAGGACAGATGTTGTAGTTGGTGAGGAGGAGAAAACACCAGGAGATGGCGGCAGGGCTGCCCTGTACTTCCAGTGTGTTCAAAGAGCTCAGTGTCACCTGTGACATTTCTAATACTTGAGTTTTTTTAGTTTTTTCATGTTTTTTTAAGGGTGCCCTTGTGGTTAAAGTTTGCCCCACCACCAAGACTAAGGCTACATCTACACTACGGGGGGGGGGGTCGATTTAAGATACGCAAATTCAGCTACGCGAATAGCATAGCTGAATTCGACGTATCGCAGCCGACTTACCCCGCTGTAGGGACGGCGGCAAAATCGACCTCTGCGGCTTCCCGTCGACGGCGCTTACTCCCACCTCCGCTGGTGGAGTAAGAGTGTCGATTTGGGGATCGATTGTCGCGTCCCAACGGGACGCGACAATCTATCCCCGAGAGGTCGATTTCTACCCGCCGATTCAGGCGGGTAGTGTAGACCCAGCCTCAGTGCCATATGCTCCCTTCGAGCTGCAGTGCCCACAAAGGACTTCCACTGAATCAAGTGGGAATTCTGTCTAGTCCTGAGAGTAGAATAATGATTCTTAATGTCCCTTTTGTCTACCCAGCGTATCCTAGATTCTGTGAAGTGTCACAACACTGTGATTTCATAAAAACAACAACTACAAATATTTTATCAATATTGTGTAAAGTCTGATATGTCTAACAAAGATTAATAGCCTAACAAACGGTTAACTCCAGCCGCGTTTTCCCATTCTTTTTTCAGGGCCCCATGCCGCAAGGTGCTGAGCATCTACTGTGAGATATTAAGTGCCATCAGCTCCCATGGGAAATAAATGTACTTAACTTTGTGTCTTTGTTTAGGGTAACCCTGGATTGGACAATGACATAAAAGGGTCGAAAGGTTCAAAAGGAGAACAGGGAAGACAGGTAACTATTTAGAAATATGTGACTTTGCTTACTGTACATTGTTTCAAATACTAACCTACAATCCTTTAAAATATAGCTCTATAGAGCAAATTAAAATTAATCCATTGATAACCAAGGCTGTTAAAAATAGTATGACAATTCTATCGTTCCTAATTTTATACCACACAATACATCAGAAATCAACAAGATGACATTCAATAAAGACAAGTGCAAAGTACCACACTTAGGAAGGAGAAGTCAAATGCACCACTATAAAATAGGGAATAACTAGCTAGGTAGTAGCACTGCTGAACAGGTTCTGGGGTTATAGTGGATCACAAATTGAACATGAATCAATAACATGATGCAGCTGCAAAAAAGGCTAATATTCTGGGATGTATTTACAGGAGAGTTGTATGTAAGTCACTGGAGGTAATTGTTCCTTTCTACTCAGCCTTGGCGAGGCCTCAACTCAAGTACTCTGTTCCTTTCTAGGTAGAAAGATATGGATGAATTGGAGGGAGTCCAGATGAGGGCAACAAAAATGATGAAAGGTTCCGAAAACCTGACCTACAAGGAAAGGTTAAACAACCTGGGCATATTTAGTCTTGAGAAAAGAAGACTGAGGGAGAGACCTGATAAGTCTTCAAATATGTTAAGGGCTGTTGTAAACAGGATGACCATCAGTTGTTCTCCAGGTCCACTGAAGATAGGACACAAAATAATGGGCTTAATCTGTAGCAAGGGAGGTTTAGGTGGGATCTCAGGAAAAACTTTGCAACTGTAAAGGCAGCTAAGCTCTGGCATAGGCTTCCAAGGGAGGTTGTGGAATCTGCATCACTGGAGGCTACTTGTCATGGATGGTCTAAGTTTACTTTGTCCTGCCTCAGCACAGGGGGCTGGATTTGATGATCTGCTGAAGTCGCTTCCAGTCCTACATTTCTATGGTTCTCTGATTCTAGCCTTATGGGTGATTTGAGATCCATGAATCTGCACTCTGCAGTCCAGCTTTGGAAGTGGTCTTACATTTTTTAAAGAGATGAAAAATAACTAAGGTGTGGATATATGATGAATAATCGTACCTACTGTCATCTGTGGCATACCTATTATTATTATTATTATTGTTTTTAAAACATTTCTTGTAGTAAATTAATGAACTTCCACAGAAAATCTTCCAAAGTGTGTGTGCGGGGAAAGTACTTAGAACTATTTATGGGCCCAATATTACACAGTGCCCAGCACCCCCCAGAAGGTGCCAATCCCCCCTGAACTTCAATTGATTTCACTATAGAGCAGTTATGGAGCACCAGTACAAGACTTGGATTATCTGCACAGTATGCAGGAGATCAGTGTTGATACACAAAACAGAATGGTAACTATAATGACAAACATGCAGCACCTTCCAGACAAATATAATTTGAGGGCAACATCAGTGATTATTTTGATGGCACTACTTTATGAAATGTACCGTAACACAATGGCATTTCTTTGACAATGTTGCATAGTTGTGCAATTAAAATACTATGTTTCTGTTCTTAATTCTGACAGGGGTAAGCAGTTGCAGATGTTGTGTGCCCAAGTGTTATGAAAAGAATTTTTTCCCATTGGTTTGCATGTCCATTGTTCATGACTAGATGGCTTAATAATCTGGAAAAATATAAAACGTTTGGAATTTGAGTGACAATTGAGATAACCTGAAATTAAATTTCTCTTTTCCAGGGTGAAAGAGGACCAATGGGCTCACCAGGGTCACCAGGCTCTCAGAGAACCACAGTAAGAACCCATATAGACAAGGAGACTAAATATGCAAAGGAAATGCTTGTAATTAATCCAAGGTAGAAAGAATGATCTCAGAGTCCATAAATTTAACCTTGATCGATCGATCGCTCGGTCAGCCTCCATTCACTGCAGGAAGATGAGATAAATAAATCTCTGATAGATTGCCCTGAAAAAATTAACACTAGCAAGAGCCTCTGATTCCAGGCAAACTCTTTCCTCCTGAATAGGGCTATCCAACACAACTGACTGACTATCAGAGACAAAATAGCTTCCTCATTTCTTTCAAATTTGGAACCTACTGCAATACTGCCCAGTTTCTGTCCCCCAATGCTTGCTGATGACTTCACTTCTCTGCTTCCAAAGAAAAAGAAATTCTGCAAAGATAAGGATTTGCATTAACGTACTCTTTCTTCTGGTGTGGCAGTGTAGCAGGATCACCAGGCTCCTACCTCTATCCCTGTCTACAAACTACTCAGAGATCCTTGTGCTGGTTCAACACCTTGTGCAGTTTATTTACAAATGGATTCCCACCACCTTCATAATACATACAGCTCTTGTAACAAGCAGGGCAGCACAATCTCTCTCTCTGCTTGCTTCCCCCTTTCCGCTTCCTTTCTGTACCTATTTGTGGGCTCTGCCTAAGGGCTTAATTAGCCTTTCTGCCCTTCCCCACCCACAAATTAGGCACAGCTGTGCTTAATCAGCTCCATTCTGCCTTGCTTGTGTAACCCTTCTGCCCATCTAAGTTGGCAGCAACAAGGGCCGGGTTCTGTATCTAGGGGTTCCGTTTCAATAACGCAATGCAAAACCGTCTCGAGCCCCCACCCAGTGACCTGGGACAATTACATACCACCCCCTGGGCGCCTCTAGGAGGCAATACTTCCCCTCTCGCAAGCACGGAGTCTGAGTTTAACAGAAAATGTTTAATAACATGAGGTAAACGACATCAGCATTAAATTGGAAAAACAACACAAACAGGCTTCATGAGCAAAAAACCCACCCCAGCAAATTGGGCTGTGTCCTTTCCCTTTGGTTCTTGAAACCAGCAACCCAAGAATCACCAAGGTCCCAAAAGTCCAACAACCCCAAAGTCTCTTGGGTCCAGCAACCCAAGGATCACCAAAGTCCCAAAAGTCCAACAACCCCCCAAAGTCTCTGTCCCTGGTCAGTGCAGCCCCAGAGTTCAAGCGGGGGGGGGGAGGCACGCAGGGTGTTAAGGGGCACCTTACGTGATCCGAGGCCGACTGGCTGCCTCTCTGTGGGGTTCCACCGCAGCCTTCTCCACGAGCTGCTCCGCTCCACTCCACCAGCTGTCCTGTGAGCCGCTCCCGCCGTCCACGAACTGCTCTGGCAGCTGCTCCGCTCTGCTCACCGACCTGTGAGCCGCTCAGCTCTGCTCCACTTCAGCTGTTCCTTGGGCCGCTCCCACAAGGCTCCGCTCTGCTCTGCTCTGCTCCTCCAGCCGCTCCGCCCTGCTCACCAACCTGTGAGTCGCTCAGCTCCACTCCAACCGTCCCTGTGCGGCTCCACTCTGCTAGCGGCTCCCCCAGCCGCTTAGCAATATAGCTTCAGGCTCCCCCACTAGTTAACACAGTCTCAGTGATCTCAGCTCTTAATAACTTTAGCTCTTTTGTGATTTCAGCTCTTGCTAGTGCACCATTAGCCCAAAGTGAATTCAGCTCAGCAGCCTGTAACTAGACTCCTAATGGAATCAAAGTTAGCTCTGACATTCAACAGTGGAGAGAGAAGGTAGTGCAATTGGTGTTTCAAACCCTCAAAGAGGACCCATACCATCAGATATAAATACCTGACCCCATTCTCTCTCAATTCACTAGGTTTTGTAACCCATGCCCCTTGTCAAGCAAGTGCTACTTAGGTAATGGTGAAGTACTCACTCAGTCCTTCTGTCATACAACAGTTCCACTGGCCTTGATTCACAGAATCAGGGTAACAAACCTTTATTCTCCCTGCCCCAATAACAGAGAAACTGGGGATCCCACCCCAGCCAAAGTAACCACTTTGAGTTGCTGTTGTTTCCTGCCAGGCGAGTGGGTGTGCCTATGCAAACAAGA